ACCCAATTTTTAACTTTTTTCCACCAAAAACCCACTAGCTATGTTAACCCCATATTTCACATGGGTGGGCAAAATTATGCATGGGATATTTTTGCATGTGAAAATTGTGGTTCACGCTTTTCGGGTAGCTTTTTTGGAAAATGTTGAAAGTTGAAGGTTTTTTAAGGGGAGTTTGTGACATTTTAAATGTTAAGGGTGTTCTCTATGAAACGCCCAAACTTGCAAAGAGGGAGTTGTGAAATTTATCCTTTTTTAATGTTTTTATATTGTTTTGGTTTTTTATTTTTTTATTTTTTGCATGGTTTTGTTATTCTAAAGCTGTATCCAAGAATACACAGACAAAAAACTGTGACCATGAACTCATTAGTTAAACTTAGCGAGCCCTATATAGTGGCAAAACCTTATGATTGATATGTTCAGTGCCTTTAATTTGCTAGAACTGACAACGAAACAAAAATTTGCAGCCGGAGAAGATTCGGGGAGCATCAAGCCGAGTCTTGGTGGTCTGAGAACCGTGATAAGGTTTACCAGAAGTACAATGTTCGTGGATCAGACAAGAGCTCCCCATCACCATTGACCTAATCATCACAAAATTACAATGAAGCCTAACAACAGGTATATTATCATGATTATCACAAGCTGGGATGCTTATTTTATTGCAGTACTTCTGTTGGGTTTTTGAGTTGGGACCTCTTCTAGTGAGTTATCCAGGAATTCCATGTAGAGAGCTGAGCACTTCCTTTTAGGAGTTTACATTATGTGTGGTATATGAGGTAACTTTTGTCTGTGTTAACTTAATGTTAGTTGGTCTCTTGCTCTGCCTTTTGCCTGTATTTATTGTATTTTGCGGTGTATATAAGATCCATGAGTATGAGATGGTAAAGAGGCGGAGATATAAATTTCAATTGTATACAGTTTTTGTTGGCAATTGCTGAGTAAATGGTCCTTCAACTTTCTTTTCCATGTTCTAATTTTCAAACATGGTACATTAATAAAAGAATCAGAAGAAATAAAAAAAAAATGCGAGTGAGTTTGAGGACAGATGCTTGAGTTTCAGAGACATTTGATACAGCAGATTGGCTTCCGTAATGGCCTGTTGCTCGGGCCTATTCTAACTTTTCAGTGATGAATGATAGCCAGAGCCTGTTCTGCTGCTTAATAATTTAATCTTATCAATTCCATAACGTTTTAAATGGATTTTTATTAAAAACGAATGATCTCGTGGAGTCGATGGATCCAAACTTCGTAGTAAATTGTAAATAATTCATCATATTCTCTCTCATTGTAAGATCTTATTCAGAATTCAGTTCTTAGATCTCTTACTACAGAGATTACTTCTGAAATAATCTTCTTAAAATTAAATGTTTTTTCTAATATTCCTCTTTGGTTTCTATCTCGTACTTGAGTCTAATATCTAATACAAAAATTCTGTGGATATGATGGTCTATTATATGGAAAAACCTTAGAACTTGCCATAATTAGTTATTTTAGAACATTCTTTGACAATTTCCAAACTATTTTAGCCATATCTTTATATGATATAAATATAAGATGAAAGATGATTCCATTTTCGTCAAATGTCAATAGAACATGTCATAATATATGGAAAAATCTAAGAGCTTGTTGATTATTTTAGAACATTTTTTTGACAATTTCTTCGCCATAACTTTATATGATATAAATATAAGATGAAAGATGATTCCATTTTCGTCAAATGTCAATAGAACAGGTCATAATTAGTTATTGAAGAAAATAGATTCTCTACCTTTTTTGTCTTTTTTCTTTTTTTTTTTGTTTGTCCTGAATCATACATCACTAACTTATATATTTATGAGTGCTAAGGCATTCTATGCTCGATTAGATTCTAATGCCTATCACCCTTTTTCCACTTAAATAATCTCAGTTCCTCAGTGCAAGCCATGAGGGAAAAAAGTGTAACCATGACCCCTTCCTTTCCAATGGTACATGATAAGTGCTAACTTTTGATCTTAAATACACTTCTTAGTCCTGTACAGTACGTATCCCACTGTAACATGAGACCCAACAAGTTGGCACCTCTAACAAAGACACAACTCCATCATTAATATTAATAAAAACAGATTTAATTGCATAAAAACTTTCATATCATGAGGATGTAGCCACTTGTAGTCTCCAAACCATTTTATCAGCACTTATACTCTGTGAACTGCAGATAGTATTATTCTTCCGTATGATTAAGCTGTCATTGTAAAAATATGTGACGATAAACTGACTTGTCCTCTATTTAACTAGAAAAACATGATTGCTATCTACATTAAAAGCAAAAAAGTAATATTGTCCTAGTTTGTGATGTGAGTGTTAATAAAATAGTTTATAAGATATAGTCGAATAAGTGCAAATCCTATCAGAACACATCATTCCATGGGGGTGTTATGACCATTTAGAAGACAGTGAAATACCTAAATTATACTCTTGTTTGACATATGAAGTTCTGAAAACCTCCCACACTGCGAGGGAGATTCTGGTAGGATCCATGATGTAGTTGAATGCGCCATGATACATGGATACGTGCAATTAGCTAACCAATAAAATGTTTAACAGCAACATACTCCATATTCTTTTGTGGACGAGAAAAAAAAGGAGAACATTATCCTAACACCCAAATCCGAAGACCTTGAGATTGTCTGAGAAAATAGGTGTTTTGTGTACCATAACTAGGGCACAAGTGAGGAGACCAGGGGCCCATGATTGTGGACATTAGTCATTAGTTCACCACCATAAATCCTAGCAAAATAATTAATGAAATGTCCCTTCAGTTCTCATGTTTGTTTGTGTTGTGTTCTTCACTCCCCGCCAAGTAAAGGACTTGAGATCAATCTTTGCTCAAGTATAAAGCAAATAAACGTCATCTCTTTATAACTACTAACTCCACCTTTTGCTTCTATTCCAATACTATTCTACTTTGTAAATCATTGTTATGTATTATTGTGGCTATCCATTATGTGAACCAAACACTGTACACCACATGAAAACATGAGTTTGTTGTAATCAATGTTGCTTCAAGTTGGGATTGTAGTTGTTGGGTTGGGGGGATTATTGATTGGAACATTTGGGAGGATAATGAGATATTTTTAGGGAGTCTATTTTATAGTGTTATTCATTAGAACTATGGAACAAAGATATTACTTTTTAGTGTTATTGGTTTATTGAAACACTAGTAGGATAATTTCACCACTTGGGATAAAATTATCACACTCATATACAAATATTTTGCCCCAATAGTAAAAATTTGCCTCATCCTCCACATAGGAACAATTATGCTCCACTTTGAAGGCAACTAGGATAATTTCAAAACATTTTTGTATTACTTAACTAAAACATACTAATTATATTATAATTATATACCATGATATATAAAATATGAAGTAATAATATATTCAATATTGTTGATGTAAGGAATCACACGGTCAAATAAAAAGAAGTTGATTAAATTGACAGAGGTCCTCTGACTGTCCGAATGTCCGGTTCTTGAGCAAGTCGTTCTTCCCTGCACAAGTAACAAATCGTAAGAGAGTGGGGTGTGATTTCTCGGTTGTTCCTCCGACGATCAAGTCAGTGGGTTGCTTGTGTAGAGAAGTAAAAGAAGTGGCAATAGTTCTTAAGTTCAGAGAGTAATGAGAAAAAGCTTACCCTATAATTAAAAATAATATTTTCTTTTATAGTAGTGGAAGGAGGGGTAGGATGGTAACTTCGACCGGGCATGGGCTGGCGGCCAAGTCAGCTTCAACTTTATAGGTGTCGGCCGATGAGTGGAAAAGATGTCATTTCGATGTTTAATGTGAAGTGATGGGTGGTGTGCGGTGCTGATGTGGTCCGATGTGTCATAAATACTATTGGGGACAGAGGAATGATGAAGCCCATAATGCATTTAATGATATTTATTGTGATGTGATTGGTCATCAGTGCATAGGGGCTCGAGGCTTGAGACGTTTCGTCACCTTTTACTTGTCTAGTGGTCGAGAAGTACCGCCTTTTGAGTCGCCCTCGCAAGATGTCGGGCGATTAGTCGGCTGAGTGGAGTGGTTAAGTAGTCACCTAGGGGACGACACGTAACACCTTTTGGATCATTGACATGTGACGCCTTTCGAGTCTTCCTCGCAAGATGTCAGCGTGTCGAGTCGATCGAATTGGGACTCTGATTATCTTGAGGTGCCGACATGATTATGCATAATGTGTGACACTTGTCTGTCACTGATTAGAGATTATTTTCCATCCCTAAAACGGCTATATAAAATATATTATATTATATTATATTATCATGTAATACAATAAAATATTATTATTATTTAATTTATATGTATAATTTATTCTATTATATTTATTAATATATTATAATGCAAAACCACATACCATATTAAATAATATTACAACATATTTATAACAATATTATATAATATTTGAATAATATATATTATTATATAACAATTTATATTAGTTAGAGTTAATATTTTATTGTAGCTATTATACGTGTATTATATTAAACCAATATAATAATATAGTATAATATAATATAATATATTAAAATTAATGAATATGTTAGTATATTACTGATACGAGTCGCCGTGCGAGCACCTTTGATTGCGGAATTATCAAAGGTGGGTTGAGAAGAGGATGACAGAAACACAAGAATAATTCAGTATGTGGCGAAGAAAAATATCCTCTTTAGATTATGAGTATGAAAAGATTATAATCTCTCTCTCTCAATCTCACTAGAATCGAGAACAAAACTCTTAATTCTCTCTAAACCCTAATCTCTCTTGATTAGAATCTCTCTTTTATTACATCTGATTGATTAGAAACTCTAAACAACCCCTTTTATAGGTATAATAACGTGGGTGGCAAAGTGGTAAATAACCAAGCCTAAACCCTACGGGAAAACGTCCAAACAGAAACCCAAACGAACCAGGAAACCATCGATGAGTCGACTCATAAACATGCATGAGTCGACTCATGCCAAGTGAGTCGACTCATGATGAGGTGAGTCGACTCGTCAGAATTTTTTGACAAAATGGCTAGGTTTCGTGAGTCGACTCATGACAGGTATGAGTCAACTCAACATGATGAGTCGACTCATGTACATGTATGAGTCGACTCACGGGCTGAAAACTAGATGCTTTGATTCTTCGATTCGTCGTCTCGTTCCACGCTTCAACCTGCGTTCCACTATGTTGTTTTACACCTCTATTCTCAAGTTATCATGAGAATCATCTATCCTCAAGCTTCCATAATGATCACTAAGTTCTGAAGAAAAGATACACCCATATCATGGGTCCCCCTTTAGGAACTTGAAGTCTCATTCAAGTTAGAACTTCAGTTGAGGAAACTCGCGAGCTCCTCCATCCTTTTTGTACCACCTGGCTTTGCTAGGAACCTAATATTGACGTACAATTGGAAACGACTCCTTCGTTCCTTGCCCCAGTCTTCCGCTCTAACATGCAACTCCTTTTCCATGGCTCGTCATGAAGTCTAATGCACAGCGAGACGAACTTCTTGCTTGCATTCACTAGCCTCTTTACTCGCGTCACCATAGGAAAACATGCAAACAGAAACCCAAACGAACCAGGAAACCATCGACGAGTCGACTCATAAACATGCATGAGTCAACTCATGCCAAGTGAGTCGACTCATGATTAGGTGAGTCGACTCGTCAGAAACTTTTGACAAAATGGCTGGGTTTCGTGAGTCGACTCATGATAGGCATGAGTCGACTCAACCTGATGAGTCAACTCATGTACATGTATGAGTCAACTCACGGGCTGAGTGAGTCGACTCGTCAGAAACTTTTGACAAAACGGCTGGGTTTCGTGAGTCGACTCATGACAGACATGAGTCGACTCAACCTGATGAGTCGACTCATGTACATGTATGAGTCAACTCACGGGCTGAAAACTTGATGCTTCGACTCTTCGATTCGTC